CTTCGGTTCAGAAGTCGGGGATAGTCCTACGAAGTAGAATGGATGCCAATAGCTTGGAAGCAGTCTAAATATGACTGATCCCCGATGCTTAACGCACGAATTGCGAACACCTTTCTTAAAAATGGAACAATAACTGCTTCGCCTCAGGAAGTACCTACCTTTTCTTCATGCCAGGTTTAAGAGAATAATAGCTGGCTGATGATGACTGCGCCACCATATTTGGACAGCTCCGGAGATAGTCCGTCTTGACCGGCAGTTTTAAACCGTTTCAAATGGAATCACAAGACACGCTTCCGCTTCTCTAGTGAATCATGTGTGACTACCGAGGGCGGACGGCTAAGTTCGCAGATCATCCAAGTGGGCGGTGAGTGCCATTTAAACTGAGAATGAAAATGTTCGACCCATCAATCCAAGCGTCTCTGTAGGCTGGTGTTAGGGTTAGACTAATCCTAACTAACCCAACCACTATGATCATCGATCAACCACTATCGATCTCTGTATTGAACACTCCGCCATAGACAGAGCGGCGTTCGCATTCGGCATCGTGGTCTGACGCAGTGCGGTTGTGCAATTTCAGGCCTGTAGCCCAGCCTGGTCAAATACATTAATTATCGAAATGTGACCACTCTATGAATCAAGACGGTGTTTTTACTATCACTTGCAATGCAATTTTTTCACAAGAACATGAGCACTTTAAAGCCGCTCGGTTACACATGATCTAAATTTCGCCCGACACTTTTCTGTTCAGGCAAGTGGAGATTTCGCACCTAATCTTGATCGAGACCGTCACTCGACAATTATATTTTCTGCCAGTGGTTCCCAGGCATTTTTGAATGATCGCGACAGTCACTCTACAGTTGCCTCACTAATCGACGGATACCAGAAGACCGAAGAGTCTTCAGTTAACACAGCAATCAACAGTGGCTTACTGCAAATGTTCCGAGATCCAAATAAGGGACAGCAACCTTCCAACTTCCCTTACAGTTGCAACAGTCCAAGTGGCAGAAGACCTCAAGAACATTTCTTGGCGGGGAAGTGTTAGGGTTAGATCAATCTTAACTACTATCACCACAATGTCCATCCATCAACCATTATCAATCCCTCTATTGAACACTCCGTCACAGACAGAGCAGCGTTCGCATTCGGCATCGTGGGCTGACGCAGTACAGTTGTGCAACTTCAGGCCTGTAGCCCAACTTGGTTAAATACATGGATACTCGAAATGTGCCTATTGTATTAGTACGGCGTTGCAACGGTTAGCAGTCAGCGAGCCATCCGCCTTGCAGATAGTCTCACTGACTCAGATCATTAGACACAGGTTTTCTGTGTCCAGTGGATCAAATGAGTCGAAAGAACTTGCGAGTATTGCCAGAGGGGCCGGCGGCCTTCATTTTCGAAGTACACTGAGTCCGTCAGGCTTCCTAGTCACTGCGTAAACTTCGTTTGAGCTGCCGACTAACAGGACGGTGCTATTCATTATTCTTAGACTCCGCTGGAATATTTCTGTAGCGGTCAAATGGATTCAGGTCTACCTAAGGTGCTGAGTGAAAGCACAGCTTGACTGCCCGAAGATGCTCGTGATCCTCTTCACCAACATCCAGTGTTCCTCAATGTCTTGCGGTGGGTCGCAGCGGAGTACATCGGCTAGGGAACATTGATAGCTTTGCTAAACTGAGAGAGTCTCTTGTATATCTAACTGCTTCCTTTTCGCGGACCCTCCGAAATTCACTCAAATTTTCTCATTAACAAGAGCATGACCTGTCGCAAAATGTGGACCAGTTTGATCTGTAATCTCTTACACTACCCCTTCATCTGAAAGTGATTGCGATGTGATAAATCTGAGACCATGACTGAGTCGCAGAAAGGGGTTGCGAAGTAGCAGAACGTCTCCTTGAATGCCTGAAGCTGGTGTTCGAGAGAAACGGACGCTTGCCTTCACACCGTGTGAGAAGTCTCTCTTCATTATATGAGCGGCTCTCATCGAGCGTATGGTGACACTGTGGTGATTTTCATATGATAATATACGACAAAACCGTGAATTGAGATCCCGGATTTGCAAGCTCTGCTCAAAAGCTGGTGAAGTTCACGTTAGAAGTTGCACTTGACCGAGTCACAACTTCAACTGTTGCAACTGTTCGTGCTGTACTGTTGTACGGATGCGAGACCTGGCCCATTCGTAAAGATGACTTGCGCAGGCTATCCGTCTTCGAGCACCGCTGTCTGCGGTCCATTGCCCGTGTGTGGTGGCAGCACCACGTAAGCAATGTGGAAGTTAGACAGCGTGTCTTGGGGCGTGGAAGCCACTCGCTCGAGGAGCTCATTTCACTGCATCAACTGCGGTGGTTGGGACACGTATTGCGCATGCCTGTCCAGCGTTACCCGCGTCGTGTGTTGTTTGTGGTTGCTGGACAGGGCTGAAAGAGACGGTCTGGTGGACAGCCTACAACATGGAGAAGCCGCATGAAAACGTTGACGAAACAGCTGGCGTCGGCCGGTTGTTGTCGACTACCTGGTTGGGGTCCGAGAGATGAGGATACTTGCTGTTTGAAGACGTTGGAAGTTATGGCTCAAGATCGATGTCAATGGCGGACGTGTGCATCGGTTTGTTGCGGTGTCCCTTCTTCCTCCCCCTAAAAAAACTGAAAAAGAATTTCAAAAACTGTGAGTGGTAAAATAGACAAAAAAGTATTTGTTGTTGCTCTTTTCTTATTATCCATATTGTTTTCCTATTCCACCATGATTCCGATGGCACAATATCTGTACCACAGATTGTGTATTATATATGGACATCACAGTGACAGGCATATCCGGATACGGACGCCGCCAAATCATATATATATATATATATATATATATATATATATATATATATATGCAGTCGGTTGGAGCATACGCTGAGATCGCAAGCCAGCTTAATCTCCGAATCCGAACTGCACACAGTTGGCTATTAATCGGGAACCAGTCCAGAGTACTACTTAGTGCTACATCAACAACAGTCAAGCGTGTGGCGGCTGCTTCTGTATCACCAGATAGACGTAGGTGAAATATGGTTCCGTAGTCGATGGGATAGCCCTATGACAGTATTATGATTTTGCGATCGTGTCTCCGAAATAGCAAACCGATAACGAGGGGTTCCAAGGTGCGCGCGAGACTAGGCTGTTGCCCAATCTATATCAGTGTACGTGAGAACGCAACGAGGGGCAGACAAGTGGTTTATTGAAGAAATTATTCCTGGTTAACATAATAACTCGAACATAGAAACGTAAGCCCAATTTCCAAATGGCGTTCGCGGCGCCTTTTCGGAGCGATGCGCCGTCTCATGATTTACCGGTTTCCCTTGTCTGTCCTCGCTGATATCCATACTACTCATCAGTAGTAGTAGTAGTACACTGAAGACTGCCGGACGGACCGAGGTCGAAGGAGGACAACTGGGTGAGCTCTGTGGTTGTCAACGTAACTACCGATAGTAGAATCATATATATATATATATATATATATATATATATATATATAAATATATATATATATATATATATATATATATATATATATATATATATATATATATATATATATATATATATATATATATATATATATGGTTGGCGGCATCCGGTTTCGGATTTGCCTGTCACTGTGACCAGACACAGGACGCCTTTGCCTACAGAGGGACCACGGGTGGCTTGCGCTGCACTACCCACAGCTCTAACCACACACCCCATATCCAGTGTAAACCCGAAGGAATAAGACCGGGAGGCATGTGGATGGGAGCCACGTTTCATCAACGGAGCCGGCCCACACTCCTTCACAAGCACGCTGTATTTGGGAAATCAAGCGAACACAAGGCGGTGGCTGGACCGTAGTCCGCTCCACACTGACTTCATGGAACCACTCCTTGATCCTAACACGGCCACAAGTACCGTGCACCCCGTCCCCTCCAGCAACGACCAACTGTCTCCTGGAGCCAGTATGGACGAGGTAGTGGGTAATAGACAGGTAGGCACCTTGTCAACATGCACATCAAGCGCAGCCACACCGGGGATATCAAGCAACAGCCAATCACCTGGAACGACAAGATGAAATAAAACAAATCCAATAATGCATACAGATACGGTGGCATAACTCTAAGCTAAATAAGCATATGAAGTAAGTTGGTTAGCAACGAATCCATGATAAGGAAAAATGTCCACAAGTTAGTTAAAAATGCTACAAAACACAACAAAGTTACCGAAGATAAGCGCAATTAATGTAAGCAACGTGGCCAGTTAATAGAAGAGTATTCAGGTGGGCAGAACAAACCAACTAAAGTGGAATGAAATTTAGCCAGGTTAAAAAGACCTAGTTTAAGTGCAAGTTGGTTTAGCGCAACTGCGGTGAAGAAGCATCAAGAACGCAACATCGGATATATATATATATATATATATATATATATGTATATATATGTATATATATGTATATGTATATATATATATATATATATATATATATATCTATAGTGTAACCACATAGGTGCAACTGATGTATTTTGCGGGCCATAACATGCAACATTTCTAACCACTTATAGTTCGTCTCGGGTCGTCTTTAGTGTGATTTGTGGACTGGTGCAACTGATAATAAGCTTGAGATTCCCTTCTTCATATTCCTTTTCCAACGTGTAGTCCGATCGTCTTTGGTTGGGCTCATTGTTCACTATGTGATAAGGTTCCGGTTAGTGGCAGAGTCACTCGTTGCAAAAACTGAAATTAATGGCATTTTCATTGGTTAATTAACCGTAGGTTTAAGAATGTGGCTTGTATAAGCTATTCGGTCGCATACAATGAGGTTGACCCAGCGCGGTCCAGTAGTTTCTATCGCAGAGGTCTAACAAGCAGACGAAACTCTTACCTTGCTCGTTGATAGTCACTGAATCGTAAGCTTACATTTCACCTCCATGCTGTCGTCGCCACTCCACTTATTCATGCGCTTGAAATATTTTCTTTCTCGTTTTTACTTCTTCTCAGCTCAAAGATCTTGCGTTATCCTGCATGGTATGAACTATGCTCTGTTCTGTTTAACGTCGAAGAGTCCACTCGGATTTGGCCCAATATAACTACAGATAGCTTGATGGCCTTAACAGAATCATGTTTGTGTGGGAGCTACGCGGTCGATGAAGACACCCTCTGTATTCCACCATCACGGCGCCCATCTGATGGGAACACCGAACCTCTGTTTTTTCAAGTAAGCACATGCTCCCATTCTCTATTGTGTCTGAGGCGTAAACGATGTTGATTAATTTCAACTTTGTGCGCTACCTGCCAAAGGCCCGGTGTTGACATGGTTTTTTGGTACCCCTTGTTTTGGATATTCGCGGTTTCATTTTAGAGTGACGTGGATGAACAGATGTTGCTCTTCATTCATACTTCATATGTGATGCTCTCGGTCATTTGGGTACTCCGAATACTTAACATTCCTTGCATTACGAACGGCACTTCCACAGTTGCTAGCAGCGCTGATGGCTAATGCTTCCAACCGTTATAGTGTGGTTCTTTGTACATGTTTATTTGGTGTGTCTGCATCGCGAATTCTGCTGGAGCATGGTGTTCCAACTCCAGATGGTTTATTGTCCTTTTAAGGATTGTGCTTTGATTTTGAATAGTAAGTGTGATATTGGTAATAGAGAACCCTGTTGAACTCAAGCAAGCCTGAGCAAGACATCGTAATGCTGCTTTAGTGCAACTCATGACCTATGTTGAGGTTAGTCATTATAATCCCGTCACAGCCGCACTCACAAGTTATTCGCGATAATCCCGCTCTAGCAAGATATATCCTTAATTTACGCCTTTGAATACCGTGCATTCATAAGCTGAAGTTTAATTCGCTTTTCCATTCGCAAGTGTTATTCTATCGGCTTCCACTGTTCCGTTCATTGTGTTGGAAACGTCGCTTATCATCGCACCACCTTGCTTCCGTTATTGAGTGATTTGTATGAGATACACTGTGATGGGATTATACAATCAAAGGAACGAGAAGGGTTTACTTGACGAGGCAAGCGGCTAGAATTTCGCAAGCGAGTGGAGTAGGTGCTTGGACGCATACGCATCGCCGTCCCTCTGCTGATTAGTTACTTTTTGGTTGCGCTGGAGTGTTCTTGTTTAACGGAACCATAGGAAGATTTTCATGAATGCAAAAGCGTCGTTACTTATGGAAGCGTCCTAGTTATATACACCAACGCCTCTATAGACCAGTTATGCTATCATTTTCGCTGAAACCTTTTTGCCGAGTGGACCGGTTTGCCCGTGAAGAACCGAGCTGTGCGACATACATCACTTTCTGTATGGTTCTACCGTTTTGCCCCGGTCCACCATAGTTTACCTTTGCAGTCGAACCGCATCACAGCATGCTAATATACTTCTGTAATCTACTGCTAACCTCCTACACTCACTTTTTTGCTTACTGCCTACTATTTATCGTAACAATTAGCTATTTTTCTCATTATTCAGCTGGACTATTACATAGTCACGTGATTGTTAGTAGGAGTAATCGATCATCATCATCATCAGTACACCCTAACTGGGGATGAGAAACACACCTCAACTATTGTGCCGCCATACAAGAAAGCAGACATTATAGACTATTAAAAAAGTAATATAATGCTAAATATCATATTAAGCATGCGGTATGAGATCGTTGCTTGAGAAGAAAGCTAAAGGGGGAGGAAGGATAATGAAGCTCGCAACATAAACGCCATTGTGGTATGCTCCTTGCCATATCAACAGTTGTATCCAACCAGACTTGCTCATCCCCTTCGGACCCCAGTCCAGCAGTCGAGAGGAAGCAACTAGTGCCACCTTCGAAGTAAAGATTCTCATACTTCTTGACCAAGTCATCGCTTGGCCTCCCTTATTTTCTCTCATCCACACCACAGTAGCGCGACACGGGATTCGGTGGACTGGCATGCGGGTACTCGATTTCCGAATCACTCTGCTAACCACACTGTCACTTACCAAATCCGCCATTCACTACAATCGCGTTCATTCTTCTAGATTCTCCTCAAAATTACCTTGCACCAAAGACGAACATTTCGAATCAATTAATTGATTAATTCCAATCTTCTCAGCAAGATGAGACACGACACTCGAAGGTGCTCCGAACATAAGTTAGGGTGGAAATTCTGGATGGAATTTCAGTACTTCGGTACAAGACTAAATGCGGTTCTTTTTCATTGAGCCTCCTACCGTTAATTTCTTTTCAACAAGGTTCCGGAATAAACTACAGTCGGGAATTCTTCAGTTTCGTTTAGGCAGAGTGTTACGAAATGGAAGAAAAGCAATAATACTTATAGAAGACCGAATATGTTAACATTTCGATTTACTCTCCTCTGTCGCGTACGCTATGACGCGCATCTGTAGCACCGCGTGTCTCCGAATCATCTACACTACACGGTTGCTTGAGCTCATCTACCTTCGGAACAGTTCGTCATTCGGTTTGGTATCTCAAGTTATTTACTAAATCACTTGCGGTCGCGGTGACATCTATACAGACAAGACGACCCGGGACTTGCTCAACTGGTAGCCTAGCGCTGCCCCAAGTGCTTGAGGCAGTCCATGGTATATGGAGCGATGAATCAAATAGAGAGCCGGAATCACACCTCGTTTATTTTAATGCATTTTGTGATGACTGGTTCTCACAGCCTTCAGAAGGCTGTTATTAAAGCGAAACTCGAAAATGTTGGTAATCACCATGACATTACTGATTGAGGTAAACCGGTCATTATTGCGCGCGCAAAGGCAGTTGAAGCCTGCTTTCAGATTGACCTGGTTTTTATCGCGCAACATTAATTTACCCGTGTATTTTCATCTCATTTTTGCATACATCCATCGAGACGAGACTGGAGCTTAACGTGGTACGATGGTTTGTGTGCCTCAGTGATCCATTGCGCTATCCTGGGTGGTGCTTTTTGCACATTCTGAGCCACTTATATCAGTTTGATTGGTCAAAGGTTAGAGGCCAAACAAACTCAGCCTCCTGGTCCTCCAGCTTTGGGGTTAGAATGAGGGTGGCTTCTTATTCCATAAAACGGGCTCTCTATAGTCCAGTGCCACAACGCCGCTGCCTTGTGGTAAGGTTTTTGGATCAAAGTTTTTGGCTGAGAACCCTGATCGTTCTCCTGTCTGTGTCTGGGAAACCTGGCATTATCCTGCTCACGCAATACACCATGACTTTTCCTTCTAAACAATCTCTTGGTGCTCTGGCCGTCGCAGAGAATAATAAACAGCGTCCTATCTGCTGCATCGAGCAGCGTGGATAAGGGTTCGGATGCTGCTGCTCAGGCCTTCCCGTTTTTGTATTTAGCCTCTTGCGCTTTATCATCCTTAGCGTCCCGCTCCAACTTCAGTTTTATCCCCGTTTACAATCCCCCAATTCTTGGCCCTCCGCCACCTTGTTTGAATAGTCGCTTGTATACTAGTTTCAATTCACACACAATCGCAGGGCGTCGCTCCAGTCCAGTCGATAAGTCCACGTTCAACCAAGCGGACAACATTAATTCATCCTTTTCCCTTTGGTATCCTCGATCCTCACCAAGACTGACATGCCTCAACTTGCGCACTTTGCTACTACTTGATCAACAAGCAGCAATTGCCCGAAGACTAGAAATCTTATCGACCGATATTTACTATTTATCGGAAGCCCATCGCTTGGACCTTTGGGCCGGACACTTTGCAAGGCAGTTTAACCAATCCGAGCTATCACTTTATTTTTCAGGCATTGAGTGCCCTTCTCCCTGGGCAGCCCCGCTTGATCCGCTCTCACGCGCAGAAGTCGAACATGAGATAAGACTGCTGAATTCGCATAAGGCCGCAGAGGCATTTAGACTTCCCCAACCCTCTTGAAATTCAGGGGACGTGCTTTTGTTGAAGATTTGCACAATCTACTAGTGAAGCTGTTGGAGCAGCAGAATGTCTCGACAGACTGGGATCGCTCCGTCATAGTCCCAATTTCCAAGCGAGGCTCCCGTTCGGAATGAAGCAGTCATAGAGGGATCAGTTTGATCTCAAATGACTGTAAATTGATTGCGTCTGTCATTCTCCACAGAGTGACTGGCACTCGTGAAAGTCAGCTTCGTGAAGAACAAGCCGAGTTTCGTCTAAGTCTGGGCTGCATCGACCACATCTTTACTTTGCTTCGATCGTTGGAGCACCGCCATGTTTATTGACGACCCACCGTTGTCCTGTTTCTCAACATTAAAGATGCCTTCGATTCGGTGGCGCGATGTGCACTTTGGGACCATTTGCTTTGGAAAGGTGTGTGCAGTGCATACGTAAGCACTATCAGAGCGCTGTACACGCATAGTTCGGGCAGAATGAGGGTTTAATGTACACTGTCGCCGCCGTTTAATAACTCTGCCAACGTGTGACAAGATTGCCCGCTGTCACCTTTCCTTTTCAACTTCGTCATTGAGGAAGTGGTGAAAACAGCGTTCGTTGGACGCAATCTACCTGGTGTGGTGCTACTTCCTGGTGAGCGACGTTTCGACTTGAAGTATACTGACGACATTTCTCCAATCTATATCAGTTCCCAAACTTGCCAAACAGCACTGGCCTGTGCTTCGCTCCATCGAAATGCAAAGTCCTCCAAGATTGGCATTGACACACCTATGCTCTGACCTGTGGTGGTGATCAGCTAGATTCGTTCCGGAATTCAAGTACCTGGGCAGCCATAGTAACGCACGTGGGATTGAAAATGTCTACGAACCGTATAGAAAACTTCGAGGTTCTTTTTTCCAACCTTCACCACGCATGGCGCGGCCGCGGCTTCACTCATGAAGGGCAGAGTCTATAATTCACCTGTCCATTGTGAAACTTGGAACATCAAGTCGACAGACATAAGTAGCCTAGTTACGTTCGATCATCACTACCTTCACATTTTAGCTCACATCTGGTGGGAGCACCGCGTGCGCGATGAACGTGTTCGGCGTCGCTTATTTGGTGCAGGAAGAGCAAGTGAACCGCTCAGCACCATCATAACACGCACCAGGCTCCGATGGCTAGGCTACGTGTTGGGCACGCTAGCACACCGACTTCCGCGACGTGCTTTGTTTGCGCGTCGGGAGTGCGGTTGGAAGAGAAGGAGGGGCGCCAAGCGATGACTTGGTCGAGAGAAACCAAAACCCTCACTTCGAAGTTGGCGCCGGTTGGTGCATCCCAAATGCCTGACTGGGGTTCTAAGAACGATGAAAA